ATTTTCTTCCTTTTTGGCCGGCTGGGTAGGCCGACTCTTTTTTTTGCCGGATCTGTTGTAATCCGTTGGAAGTTTCACAGCACAGAGTTCTATTGCTTGAATGTAGGCCTCCGCCTTCATAAGCGCCTCGTGAAGAGTAAAGACCCTCTTCCTAACCAAGTCAAACTTAAAAGTTGACCCGTCTTTTAGGCCTTTAAAGAAATCAGTGTAGGCAACGTCATCAGACAATCCATGGATTTGGATCCTCATCAGGTTAAACCGCCTGACATATGACCGGAGCCCTTCCTTATCTCCCTGCTGAATTGCCCCAAGATCAAGGCTTGTTTTCTTGGCAGAAATATTCATAAAAAAATTGGATGTAAACCAGTAGGCCAATGTCCTGAAATTATTGATGCATCCGGCTGGGAGGTTGCCAAACCAACGTTGAGCAATCCCTTTCAACGTTGCCGGGAAGCACCTACACCATGAGGCGTCATCCAAACCCTGCAAATACATCAGGTTGGTATATGCCATGAGGTGATCTTCCGGGTTGGTGGTACCATCATAGGCGCCCACCAACACGTTTTTAATTTTCGACGGCTGGGCCATCTCGGTGATTTCCCTGGAAAACGCCGTTGGCTGTTCCCCAAGGTTGAGCAGCCAGAGCTGCCAGTCCGTAGACTGGACAGGCGGTTGCTACTGCTTCCCGAAAAGACCCGGTTGTGAATATGGAGATCCAAAAGGCGTGTATGGTGTCCCATGCAATGCCGGTTGGATGACATGAGGGCCGGATCGAGCGGAAATCTCGCTCGTCCGGCTGTCATTGTTTGTTCTCGAGTGCCTCCCTGACGTAACATTGAAGCTGTCTCGAAAGGTCGACGTTGATGCCGACTCGGAACGCTGAGTCTTTTTATCCTAAATGAGCTTCCGAGCATCAGAATAGACTTTTTTTGTTCCATCCGACTGCATGTGTCGGACGGGTTTTCTGGCTCCATCCATGGGAGTGTGTATCTTTGAGAAATCAATGGGCCTAGCCGGCACATTTGACTTCGGATGCAGCGTAGATGCTCTACCCTTTATTATTTTGGCCGTCTTCTTTCCAAGACGTTTTTCTTCTGCCTGACCCTTACGGGGGCCGGCTGTGTTATCCAGAAGGCCTTTGATTTCCCCTTTGAAACTCATCATAATGTTCATGAGTTCATACCTGGAGACTGGGGTGACCCCTTCTGAAGCAGGAGTTAACCCAAGCGGTCCCCTGATGGGATGATTTGGGCCTGCCTGCTGCTCTGCCCGTTCCCTTTTGTCTTTGGAACGAGTATGCTTGGTTCTAAAAGAACCATCGGCAGCTGTGTAAGTTTCAACCTCATAGTTGTCGGCTGTATCTTGGTCCGAATGGACCTCAGCCTCACCAGCAGGTTGACTGCCTTTACCCGGTAGTACCGGTTCTGAAGTCATCTAGAAAGTACTCTCCCCACAGACGGCGCCAGATGTTTGGGGGTTTTTTATCTGTCCTACGGGAGAGTTACAATTTCCTAGTATGCTCCTTCCTTTGCCTGTACCTGCACAAATAACGGAATACTCCGGCTGGGGCTGGGGTGTTCCACCTCCGAAGATTAAGTTAGTCTCTTTCTTAATGAGGAAATAAGACGATAAATGCTTCTCGATTTGAGAGCGTTTGCAAGGGGATTTGTGTTTGGTTGGTTGTTGGAAAATGATTCGATCCCCATTAATGAGGTCTGCCCTTACTATTTATAGTAGGGGAGAGCTGTACCTCAATTAGGGTACAATGACACGTGTCGCAAAGGGATTGGGCCTTTGCTGACCGTTGCGATCTTGACACGTGGAAAGCCATTATAGGGCCACGTGTCTTAGGGGTATTTTTACCCTAAACATATATATTCATCAAATCATTTGACTGTGATTCACTTTCCTAATAAAAATATATATACTTGTGATTCACATATTTTCCATATCTTTTATTATTATTATTATTATTATTATTATTATTATTATTATTATTATTATTATTATTATTATTATTATTATTATTATTATTATTATTATTATTATTATTATTATATATCGATACTATTCAATTTATGACCTAATATTAAAACGGACACTAGGAAGAAATCGACTCTAGAAATAACACGTGTCACAATTTGATACTATTTTTTCCTCTAAGTTTTTTTCCACGGTGACATCAACTACTTATTGTAAAATATACTAAAAATATTCACCAAATCATTCACTTACTTACACAAAATATATATTTGTGATTCACATATTTTCCATAAATACTATTCTAACGTCTATTACTTTGCATATATATGGAGTATATACTATTTCCTAATCCTTATGCAGCATTTTAATCCCTTAAATCTTCAATATATTATATATGCAGTGATTTTGTAATAAAAAAAATAAAAATCAAAATAAAATTATGTGTTTTAGAAATAATTGGTTCATACTTGATTATTACTAATTACTATTACTATTATTCCCTAAGCCTTTTTTTTTTTTTTTTTTTTTTTTTTTTTTTTTTTTTTTTTGAAAGAAACCTTCAAAGAGGAAAATTACTCATTACTAGGTTGCAAATCAGAGTTCAGAAGATTACAAACATAATTCGGAAAGTTATTAAACCAAATACTCCTACCAATTACCCAAGGTGGAGCATGAGCAAGATCATACGCCACTTTATTACCTTCCCTTTGGACCCAAGACCAGGAGCAAATAGAAAAAGAATTTGCAGCCAGCAAGATGTCATCCAAGAGAAGATGAAAGGCACTGAAACCTCTATCACCCTTCTTGATGGCGTTCACAACCACCTCGCAGTCGTTCTCCAGCACTATCTCAGCACAACCGAGCTCAGCAACTTCAAACCCACCAAAATTGCTTTTGCTTCAGCCAATTTTGGTTCCCACCGTCCCTGCACCTTAACACTAGCACACCACAAAGCATCCCCAGTGCAATCCCTCGCAACCACCCCCACACCAAGCCCCACCTCGCCTAGCAAGCCAGCATCCACGTTTATCTTTATACAGCTTCCTGAAGAGGGTAGCCACCTGCCACGAGGCTTGGGGACACACACCTTCGCTTCCTTCTTACATGATTTCTCCATATCTCGCATAGTCTTTCTAGCATAATCCCCCACTTCCCAGGCATCTTTCCAATCGTTCTAAAAAATGCCTCGGTTTCTAGCCCCCCAAATAGCCTAGCATAAAGTCATAAGCTGCCTGCGGGTTTCATCATCATAGCTGCAAAATTTGTGCACAACCTAGTTAAAAAAGGACCTCCAGCATCCCTCCACAGCCCACAGCAGACCACTCTCTTCCCAGATTTTTAATGCTCTCGGGCAGGTAAGCAAGGCGTGAATCACACTCTCCTCCCTCTCCCCACACACACCACAACCCCCATCAATGCTGCTAACTCGAATGTGAAGACCCTTACAAGTGGGAAGGGCTTCATGACAAGCCTTCCAGAAAAAATAACTTGATCCTAGGAAGCACTGGTTCCCCCCAAATTTGATTCCACGTCTTGCGCATGACGTGATCATTGGAACATCTCACTTCTTCATCATCTCCTCCAAAAATCAGCTTATAAGTCGATCTAACAGAGTAAATGCCATCCACCTCATGATCCTAACACAAGCTATCTTCTGGTAAACGATCACTAAGAGGTATAGCTAAGATCCGGTCACACTCAAAAGGAAGGAACAACTCCTTCAGCAAATCAAAATTCCACCCACTACCATCAGCAAGGATCAAGTCACTCACCTTCATATCTTCACGACCCAAATGACACAGAGAAATCACCTTCTTTGATTGAGTACCTGGCAGTCAGCAATCACCCCAAACCTTGACATTCTCACCATTTCTAATCCTCCATCTAGCCCCCTTTTTCACCACCCATTTAGCCTCATTAATACCTCTCCAAGCATCCATCTAGCCCCCCTTTTCATCACCCATGTAGCCTCATTTATACCTCTCCAAGCATAGCTTGGATTGGACCCCGCCAAAGCCTCCAAGAAAGAACAATTTGGGAAATACTTCGCCTTCAAAACCCGAAAAAGCAGCGAGTTGGGTTGGGTAACCAACCTCCAAGCTTGTTTACCAAGAATAGCCCTATTAAAAAATTTAATATCACGGAAACCAAGTCCTCCTTGAGCTTTCGTCTATAAAGCTTTTTTCAAGCCACCCAATGAATTTTGCGTTCACCATCCTTTTGCCCCCACCAAAAGTGAGAAACTAAGGAACAAAACTCATCACAAAAAGAAGATGGGAGTCGAAACACACTCATCACGTAGGTAGGGATAGATTGGGCCACCGCCTTAATCAAGACCTCCCTATTCGCTTTAGATAAACTCATCCTCTTCCACCCTTGAAGCTATTTCCAAAGCCGCTCTTTCACACCCCTAGTCAACACTTTCTTAGATCAACCCACAACCGTTGGAAGACCCAAGTACCTATCATGCACACCACCACTCTAACACCAAGAGCCGAAGCAATATTATTCTTCCTTCCCTAAGCCTTCTTTTGTTATTCATATACTCTCTATTTAGAAATTTCAAAATGTTTTAATTTCTTATTAGGAAACGACTTCTTAATATCATAATTATTTTTTTTACAATATCAATCTTATTTGATTTATTTTTAATTTTTAGTTATTTATGTATATCAAAAGCACGACAAATTAGATATGTTTTCCACTATCCTAAATTGTATCAAATACATTGTAGTAATTATTTATGTTACAATCCCATTGTTTAATATACAATTTTAAAATACTTAATTATTTAGTTGATAAAAAGAAAAACGATATCAATTTATCATTAAAATTTTAAACTTATTTGCCTAATTACTCTGTCGTCATTATATTTCATGTTTCATCTTATTATATACTTAGTACATAAAATAAAAAATACTATAGTTATATATTATACAAAATATTATTTTTGTTTTTTTTTAAATTTTGTGTTGAATCATAAACAATAATGAAATTAATTCACATGCATGACACGGGACCTAATCTAATCGACACTATTTAGCAGGGGAGGAGAAATCTCAGAATTTGCAAAAATCTATAACAAACTGTATCCAAGTGACTCAGTCTATCCATCTAAATTAAACAATACAATGAGCTTACTATCTCGAGTTCAATTCATGGCTTCCACTATTCTCATCACTCCAAAAGGAGGATTACTAATAAATGCACTTCATCTTCCTTATCGCAACAATCTCTTTCTTCACTCTCCAACATTCCGTTCATTTTCTCTCTCCTCATCACCAATTTCTCCAGGTAATCGATTCATTTCCTTTTTTATTTTTAGATTTAGCAATATGGGTTCTTCAAATTTTCTGTTGATTATTATGAAATTTTCCCACCCAGAAGTTGCAGGTTCAAATAAAGTAAAAAAAAAAGGATTGGTATTTTGTGGGTTTTATGCTTTGCTGCATAGGGTTGGATAATAAAGTCCCATTTGTGAAAAACACCCTATTTCTGGAGTTTTTTTGGGTTTTTTTTTTTATTTATTTTTTATTTATTTTATTTTTTTTATATTGTACTTAAGGTGTTTGATGAAATGCCAATGTGGGTTACTAGAATTTCAAGCAGTAATGCATGCTTATTTAATGTAGACTGTATAGCTATAGCTTGAATTCTGAAATTGTTTTCAATTTGACGGGATATTGTATGAGCATATGAATATGATTAATCTTGGTGTTTGTGGTGAAAGGGATATACAAAGGATGGAAGTGTTTTTAAGTTAGTGCCTTTAATAAGGAATTAGAAGAAAATTTTCAGCTCTTGAATGATGGACTTTGGAGATCATGGGTAGCTTTACCTTGTTGGGGTTGTTATTGTTGGTTGTCCAAAGCTCGAAACCTAAATCTTGGTTTAGTATCCTGGAGCCTTAGAGATATCAAAGTATGAGAATGTGAAGAGATAGCACTGAGTAGAGGATATTGTGAGAAAGATTGTACAGTGTAAGACAGCTGGAGAAAAACTTTGGTTGTTTGACTCTTTTATGCAGAGGTTGTGGACTTGTGGGAGATCTAAGTTTGTAGTTATTCAGCGTAATAGGTATAATTAGGTTGTTTTAGTCTTTCAAACTGCCTCTTGTAAGGCAATGCTGCAATGGTAAGGCCACACACGTATCTTGCTTCGCACAGCTGGTTAGATCTTCATCAAATGATGGTGTTTCTGAGTTTAAAGACTTTGGACCTCAAAATTGGATGGGGGGGGGGGAAAGGAAATTAAGGAGCAGAGGACAAGGAAAGAGGATGAAGGAAAAGGAGAGTGTTGAGGAAGGGATAAATTTTCGGTAGGATGGGTAAGCTTTTACTATTCTTCCTTTTATGCAGCATGGTTATATGAGTCACAGACTTATCACCTTTGCCAACAAGTGAGCAACTAATTGACTACACAAAGTTCGTTTTCGTGTGCATGTTTCCATTTTTTGAAATCTAGTGAGCAAATGTGCTTACTGTATATAAGGCTTTTGCAAATTCATGGTAGTTGTTAACCCTTAGAAAATCCACTAGCACTGAAAAATTATTCTGGAATCAAGTCTGCATACATCTCAGTTTAACAGTCTATGGGCCAATCATGCAGAAATATGCCAAGTAACTCAAGCTACAAAGAATGAAGTGGATGTATTACTTAAAGGAGTTAGTGACAGAAACCTTGTTGAACAGATAAAGCATATTATTGATATGGTACTTGCATTTCCTTCTCTCATCTTATAAACTGGAGTCATGGCTGTAGCTTTATATATTGTACTAGTCTAATAGGATATTCTTTGGTTTCTAGGCAAATCGGGCATCATTGAGAAGAGAAGTCCTGCATACAGATTTTCTTACCCCGCCTGTATTAAATGAGGCTATGGTGGCCTTGAAAAAGTTAGCTGATGTGAATGCTATTCCTAATGGCGGATATTTGGAGGTCAAAATTTTATTCTGAAGCTAGCTGTCTAATTCTTGTATTATTGTAAGTCTTCTACTGACTTAGTTTGAGTTTCTCTAAATTATGTAGGCAGAGCGGTGTCGACTTTCTGTGGGACACCCAGAAGTTCTTAGATCTATTTCTGATACAGTTGTAGCATTGAGGTAGGTCATTTCTCTTATGTTCTGACTTCTTTTGCTAGCTATGTGTTTAAGCATAACTATTGAGTACGTATATTGCTTAATGATTATTGTCTCTAGCATTACAGGGAACTTCGGATTTCAACCACCTACCCATGGGGACTTCCTTGGCTCAATTCTAGGCACAGGGATTGCCAGAGAAAAGCTTGGAGATATTCTCCTTCAGGCATGTTATGTAGTCCATTCGACTTTTATGTTTAACTTTCATTTGATAATTGCTAGATTATAGAAAGATGTAGGTATGGTAAATTTTGAATAAGTCAAGCTAATCATATTTCATGGTTCAATGCCTCTCTCTCTCCCCCTCTTTCTCGCAGCTAGAGTGAGGACTACTTATATGATTAAGCTGAGTTTAGACTTCTGATTTAATCTTAAGTTGGAGTGTAGAGAGTATTTTATAGAACTATTTGAAGCAGCACTGATTAGTCCAAATTAATATGGTGATGCCCTCTCTCCTGATGTGATTTATAACATTTATCCTCCAACAAACTCCCTTAAATTTCTCCTCAAATACAACTAACATAAGTATATTGCACTATCAATCATGCCCTTTTGAAAATGCCTGTTGCTCATTCTTGAGGATGAACAAGCAAGTTGGTTTCTTGAAAGGATGCCCTGGATTTGAGAGGGGGATTTTTTGGAAAATGAAAAAAAAAAATCGCAAAAAGTTATTACGTGTATTGTCTAGCCTAGATATATGGTTATGAGTTATGACTTTAAATATATCTTGATTATATATTTTTGGATTTACAGGGAGAAAAGGGGGCTCAAGTTCTTATTGTTCCTGAGCTTGTTGACTATATGATGTCATCATTAGACAAGGTAAAGAACTTTCTGTTGGATCCCTTTTTTGCACTTGAGCTCAGAAGAGTGATTCAGTTGTTTTATTTGTAATTTTGTAGCATTGTAGTATTGAAGCTTTAAGATGAATTGTGAACATGTAAAAAGTATTACTAAGTAAAATATTACCAAAATCTTTTTGTGAGCAGCTTTTCTGTGGCAGGTTGGTAAGGTTCCTGTCTCTTGTACATTGATTCCATTGGAAGAACTCGAATATGAACCACCAAGGTAAGGGAAGCTGTTGGTTGTTATACATTCACAAATTTTAGGGAATCTACACCATAAGCATCATTGTTTGTTCAATGCAGGATCAAGACACTAAAGACAGTAGAGTCGTCATTGAGAGTTGATGCTTTAGCTAGTGCTGGATTTAAAATTTCACGCTCAAAGTTTGCTGATTTGATAAGGTAGATTTGAGCTTTGCCTTTCATTTCTCATTCATTGTATTCTGTTTTTCATAATGGATGGTGGTAAAATAATGTTTAAATATGGATATCATTTTATCTGCCAGCTCTTTCTTTAGTTTGTTGGGAATCCCAGACTGCACTTGTTTTTCATTTGTAGATGTGTGGTATATGAGGTGTGTCATCATTCAATCTACAAATTGTAGCCTATAAGCCATTGTTTCTGGCTGTGAATTGTCCTTAGCATAGTTGTTGCAAGCTTAAATTTCCTAAAGTTTCCATTATGTCATTCTCATGGATGCAAATTGCTCAATTTCTTCTAATTTTTATAGAGTCATAGACTGTTAATAGTATGATCCATTACATTTAGATTTTATGGCCTTTGCAATATAACATATGACACATAACATTCATTGTAGAAACAGTCAAACAGTAGCAAAAGAAGAATATTTCTGCAACTTGGTGTGATTTACCTTTGGTCGTTTCATGTAGTTATTATCAATGTTTGACGTTTGTTGCCAACTGCACAAGTGGATTTGCATTCAACTTTTGGTCGCATATATCTTTATTTTTGTTTAGGGATTAGTCTTCCAACACACACTACTTTAGCATATCCTTTGGTGTAACAATCTAACCCTGGGAACCGGGGCCTGGGCATCCTTCGTTTGTGGCTGACGTTCCGGCAAAGCTCCTATTGTTATATGCCCACATTTGACTGAGATTTTTTTTTTTCAGGGGATTGAGTCAAAATTCCCTATTTTTTCACTACTTGAAGTCTTAAATGTCCATCATGCTATTGTAGATTTTCTTTGAATGTCTTAAGTTCTTAACTAATATATCATCAAATATTTAAAGGTGTATTAGCAAGGTTCAGATTCCAATATGCTAAATCTAGAAAGTGATAGATTACTATGTTGAGACAGCCCATAGGGGCATAGGCCTGTTATTTGGGAATGGAGTAGTTAATATGCTAAATGTATGACATATGAGCTAGAAATAGGATTTAATGCACTATACTAATCATTTTTATAGCAAAGGAGATGTCCGCATTAACTGGAGTACTGTGACGAAAAACGGAGCTACACTTAAGACTGGTGACATCGTCTCAGTCAGTGGCAGTGGGAGATTAAAGGTTTGTTTTTTATGCAAGAATTTCATTTTTTTGTTCCATTTATTATTATGCCAGTTATTAATAAAACTAAAAATTCTCAATCGCTTTGCAGATCGGCGAGATAGTTACAACAAAGAAGGGAAAATATGCAATTGAACTTATACGATATCTGTAGTGAACTGACTTTTATATGACCATATTCAGAGGTACTTTAAATTGTTACACAATTATTTCAAATAATTTGTATATTGTTCTGCTGGGTTTACTTTCCATTCAAATCCATCTTGTCTATTTGTTAACTCTGTGGTGAACTCTAGTGTATATAACTTCTTTTAGTAACTTGCCAATGCTTTCATATTCATCATGCATTGACTTATACAATTAGTGGTTCTTCTTTTTCCGTGTCTTTGAATATTTCGACGATAGATATTACATTATACACATGGGGCAATACAATAAATTTACATGCAATGAATCAATGATGAAAGAGAGGTTTGATGTTTGAACTAGGGACAAAGCCATACTTGATTGTTGAGGGGGATCAATGATTATGGCAAGTGGCTTGGGCTTTTTTTTTTTTTTTTGGGGGGGGGGGGGGAGTGATGGCATGATATGGCCTCATCTATGCATTGCCAGTGTTTCGAAACAACCCCTTTTTGAACAGTACCTTTTTGGGTGTAATATTGAGGAGGAGAGGGGGGCAGGGGTTAGATCTGATAGTTATTTGTTTATTCATTTGCTTGTAATTGTGAAGTGTGAACAAGCTAAAGTCGGCTTTTGAACAACTTCTAGAGGCGTAGTGTAATCAAAGGTTACTTGTATGGGATAAGTAGTCCAATAATAGTTCTACTACTTGGAACCAGGAATAAACCAAATCAACTAATAATCGAAGTAAATATTCAATTAGTTTGGATCACAACTCTGATGTCACTATGCATTTTTGTCATATTTAAAACAACTTCATTGTTAACCCTTGATACTCAAACAGTATACTTTCTTGAACAAGAAGAATAATTTAAGGAGTTGAAGGAGGATCACACACTACAAGATATAGGAAATAGCTATCGTTAACAGTGGTCGCAAAGTTAGTACATTGGTGTCCAAATTTGTTTTGTGACCAAATCATAATGGTTGCTAGACACATTGTTGCCTCTCCTTTTTTTTTTTTTTTTTGGAAAAGGCAGTCCCAGAAATTGGGAACATATTTGTGACCATTTAACCTTTAGTAGGAGGACGCACAAGAAACAACATGCTTTGTCTAATTCCAATGAATTTCAAATCAAAATTATGGCAAATAATATGTTGGTATAATGATACAAATTTGATCAACTTACATTTAGTAATACATACCAATAAAGAACAATAGTTTCAACATGGAAAACATAATTAAAAAAAAAAAAAAAGGAATTCAATAATGGAAAAAGATAATAATCTAATCGATTATGAACAATCCTTATTGCTAATAGCTTAATGTTACAAACTAACATCTGAATTTAAGGATTTATGTTATGTTACCATGGATAAAGCCTACATTTTAGGAGTAAGGCCAGCCCTGATCTTCTCAACATTGTGTTGGTCAATGTTAAAAGCCTTAGCTAGCACATCATTAGGCACAGGCGGGTCAGAAGTAAAGAGAGCAGCAGCAAACTGTTGAGTGCCTGGGAGTTGGCTGTTGAAGGCAGCTAAAACAGCAGCTGGGTGTTTGGACATGTTTTTCTGAAAGTGAGCCAAACCTCTTGGGAAAACAAATACTTCACCGGCCTTAACAACCTTGGAAATGAGCTTATTGCTGGTGGTTATGAAGCCAACATATAGCTCACCCTCGAGAACAAAGAGCATCTCAGTGGCACGTGGGTGAATGTGAGGTGGGTTTAGACCATAGGGAGCAAAGTCGGCCCTAGCCATGGAGATTCCCAATGTGTTGAGACCTGGAATGTCTTGGACGTTTGCTGAGGTGACTTTTGAACCGAGGATAGTGTTTGTGATCTGGCCTGGTTGTGAAATCCCTTTGAAGAAGAAGTCTAGTGGGGATATTGTGCTAATATTTTTGCAGGCGAACCCATTCACAAGTATTCCTGAGACATTGATCAGCTGACAGATTTCAATTTTGTTAAAAAAAAAAAACAATAAAGTGAAATCTGAAAAACAAATAACTAGGGCTTATAGAAGGAACAATATATGTGGACTAATGAAAAAACAACACTCTAAGAATGTAGTAGTACCATTTAAAAATGTGCAAAATGGTGTAATTTTACTTGTTTCCTTAAAACTTTAGTATTAGTGAGGGTCTGAGGGTGGATTATCTTTAGAGGTTTGTTATACATTTGTTTACCAATGTCATACGATTAGCAATAATTAATTTTAGTCTAAGAGTTTTGCGTCAAGACTATAATTTATTTTCTTCTAAGATGAGACATGGTGACATGGTGTGACACCCACTGGGATCTTCTCTCTTGCCTTGAGAGAAGAGGGAATGCAGATTCAATCTGTTGACCTTGGAGATCAAGGGGGATGGCTTGCTCCGGAGCTCCCCCCACACCTCTTGTTTTTAGATTATACATGAAGTCTGAATTAGTTGTTTTGATGAGTAGATTTACCTGGTGTATGATCTGCAACACAGACATCTTGAAGCATGTCAGGATCATTGGCAAAGGCCCCAGTAGCAATTGCCGCTAGTAGTACCAACAGGACCGCCGTAGCTCCTGCCATTTCAAATGAGAAATTCAAGAGGAAGAACCACGGTTGCAATTAGCTTGGACAAGACTATAAGTGATAATTATACTCAAGTCGCTAGGATTGATAACAGATTCATTGGCATCATGTTATATATAATACATAATCTGTAGATGTGCTAAGGCATCAAATATAATTTAATAGTAATAGGCTAGCTATTTGGCTGGTAACATGTCTTTTCTTAGGCTTGACCATTTCAACTGAATGTGTAATACTCTTTCCGTTTCTTTTTATTCTTTCTATTTAGAATCTTTTTGAGTAACAAAGAAAATCATAGTCGGAAAAATAAAAGAGACTGAACGAGTAATAAAATACGAGTACAATATTTCATTAAAGAATTACTCTCTTCCTCTGATCCCAAATCTGTTGACAAATGAATTGGTGTAATGCATTGCATGTTGACAACTTCTCTATTTGTGAGTTGGCATAGCTACTTGCATTTTAAAATCTACTACAGTATATTAATAATGCAAACGGTACTTGCTATGAAGAAACACAAAATGATTATAGGATAATAATGGCATGCTCAAGGCTGGCATTTTTTGGTTCAAAACATTCTCTCTTAGTCTTGACCATTTCAACTAATCTATGATAATTATTTAATCTTAGTTTATATATATATATATATATATATATATATATATATATATATATATATATATATTTTTTTTTTTTTTTTCTCCTGATCATTTTCTTGAAAGGATGCTTATAGTTAATCTTGGATGATAATTACTCTTATTATGTGAGTAGACCTACTTGTCTGCATGCTCAAATGCAGCCAACTATTTTTATTCTTCAAAATTTTGAAGAGAACTACAGTATATAGTAACCTTGTAATTTCTCCTGGTTTTTGTTTTGTTCACTTTATTTCCACTAATTTTTATTTTTTTTATTTTTTTTTATTTTTTTATTTTTTTAAAAGTTCATACTTTGTATAAGATTAGTTTTGAAAAAATAAGTTTGTATTTCGTATAATGGTTGATAAGGACTAATCAAATTCAACTAAAAAAAATAAATTCATAAAAGTTTATGTTAGTTTAGTACGGACAATTTTTGTCAAAATAAGTTTTGATAAGTAAAAATTGGGTAAATATCACGCTTTTTTAATTACTTTCTCTCATACTAGATTGCAAAAACATGACCCAACTGCAATGATAAAAATTAGTGATTTTCGCACCCCCAATCATTTATTCTGGCACTTTACCCTGTATACGAGCACATTTTTTTGTGCTTCACATACATAGAAAAAAAGGTATGTAAAAAACACTCCAACATTATTCTTTTCCCGATTTCAACTATCTCTATGTCTTGGGTTTTTCTACTTCAATTTACTTGTCATTAGTACAACAGACAGCATAAGACCAATCTTTTACACATTATTTCAGAAAGACAAAACCGTTTCCTTAGACCTTCAACCTTCAGCCGCAACACTTTTTTTGCACAAAAAAGGTTTCCTGACATGCCTTTTTTTAACTTAGCAGATGTTCAGACATAAACTTAGCTTTTCTTAATTATGTTTATTTTCATAATTAAGTGCTAATTATACTATAATGTTGTCCTGCAAACACTATCAATGTGTATGGTAACCATATCTTTGTTCTCACCGAAATTTTATTCTTTTGCCTAAAGAGCATTGCTTTGGCACATTTGACTCTTTTTCTGTGGACTGTGACAAAACATCATACAGTACATGCTTTCGCGTTTAGTCATTTACCTACTGTCGTATGAATTTGATAGTCACGTTTACCGAGTCTTATTGTATAATGTTCGGAAATAACTATCAATATTCCTGAAATTGTGATGCTTTGTTATCGGTTATAATATATTTAGTGATGGAGAGAATATGGAAACGATCCAATCACTATACATGAATTCGAGTAAAATTATGTTGTTTATACTTTGATACAAGGTGTTTGGATAGTGTGGCTATTAAATTTCCGCATTGAGTTTGCTTAAATTTTTTAATGTCCTATTAAATATTTCTCTTAAAGTCAATAGATATAATTATATCAACAATTTAATAGAATCCAGCAACCACAAATGTATGATGCAAAATGCAATGATTTCTCATGTTTGACATGATACATGAGCAAAAAGAGAACAACCAAACCAAACAAAATATTGACACATCCTAACTAGTAAGCCCACTACTTTTGCGCAAATAATTTCTAGCATGCTAGTAGCAAAAGTTTGACCGAGTTGAGTGTTATTTTCAGTTATGCAACACAATAATCACTTACAATAATTATACGAATGTGCGAATATGTAATCAAGGCCTCGCATCTATCAGATATTGTCTATATCATTATCCTTTGCGACTCTCTTGCCTCTCTATAGAATAAAGAATATAAGACGGAAAGCGAAGAGTCCTATTCACAAGCTAGAAAGAAAAAAGGAGGATTTAATAACACATATCCCCTTTGATTGTTGGTGTAAAATTAGCATTTTCTTCACCTAATATAAAGCAACAAGACCTCAATTTCTTCCAAATCAACTTAAAATAGGAACAAAACTAAAGAAAGATATAAAAAAAAATAGGAATATGATTAAAGGATGTATCAAGAACACATTGATTATTCTTATGAATTGAAAGGACCATGATCATCAAATTTGCCAGAATTATCAGTCTGATGCCTGAAAAACCATTTCCAAACTTTGTAACTCTTTCTGCATTTCCTCAATTCTCTTTCACTAACACTACTAATTCTACATGACCCTTCACCATTTCTGAACATCTCATGCCCCAAACCATCACCACCACCACCACCGCCTCGAAATCCGAACTCCTTAGTTGATAACCCAAGCCCACTCCTCCTCAGAGCAGCAAGATCAGGTGGCATTTTCGAGCTTTCCGATGACATGTCATGCAGTTTCAAATCAATGAAAGCATGATCTTCACTATTAACAAACTCACTCTCTTTCAGTGAGAAAATATTACTCTTGTTTGTACCAACAAAATTAGAAGCATCACAATAATCGAAGTTGCTAATTCTTGCTTCAGATTCACTAAAACAGCTTCTTTTAGCTGAATCTAGAACAAAATTTCCTGTACTTACACTTGAAGCTCTTGCAGCAGATGATGAAACTGCAAAACCTCCATTTTCTTGATCAGTATCATAAAATCCCCTGAAACTGCAAAGTGATCTTGATCTTGAAACTCCATTACACTCATAATTTTCTTCATTATTATGACTATTCTGATTGTTGTTGCTGATAATCTGACTGTTTTTATCTCTCTTTTTTCTGAACAATCTTCCAATCTTCCAAAACTTACCAGTTTCTGATCTTGACCCATGATGATTATTATGATTATTATTATTGACTGCAGTAGTAGAAATGCTATTGCTTCTTCTAAAATGGGAGAAATCATCATGGTTACTAGCTGATCTTCGTTCGATTCTCGACCTTGAACTCGAGATCTCATCACCGTTCTTGTCATTCTCTAGTAAGAATGAGATTCTTCCGACATCGGCCGCGGTGGTGTTGGAGGAGGAGGAGGTATCATAGCTAGAATAGAACTTATTATTAGTGTTAAAAGTGCAAGAACAATAAGAAGAAAGCCTCTGTTCACCACACTGAGGGCAGACTAACTGAGCAAGTCTATCAGTAAGACAGTAAGCACAAATCCCACCTGAAGAAGAAGCTGAATTTGGGTGTTTTTTGCAGGGAAATTCAGGGAAATAATTATCACCAACAAAATTATAATCTCCTCCATTATTATTATATGCTTCAACCTCTCTTTTTCCTCTATCTCTCATGACTTTTGGGGGGTGAAATTCTTGTGATTTAACTTCTGGGGTTGTGAAATAATTGCAGAATTGAGGTATTTAAGGAAGAAATTGAAGTGGGTTGATGAGATTTTGGCAAAATTTTGAAAAAAAGTAGGGAATTTGGGGGTGTATTTTGAGGTGGAAAAAAAAAGGAAATATGAAAGTGATAGTAGAATGAAAGAATGAGCTTTAAGAGGGAAAAGTAAAGAGAGAGAATGGCGTTAGCTTTACGTTAAGTGAGAGTGATGAGGTCTGCAGGTATTATTGTTGTCATGGAAATTGAGTGAAGGAATGAAAGTATAATCAATTTCTATACTGCATGCTCTGCTATTATTTACCCTACTTGGCTGCCCCTCATAAAAAGAAAATAAAAACTTACCCATGTTTGGGTGTGTAAGATTAAAAAAAAAAAATTAAAAAAAAAAAAATATTTGACTTTCCCTATCTTAATTTAGTTGCCACAAATGTTTTCATCTCTCTGATTAATAGAAGCGAGAAAAATTGTATTCCGAAGTATGGTACTCCATCTGTCCCAAAAAAGTTGACATGCTGGACTTTTTTTTAACTATTCACGTACTAACTTGATCATAGTTTTTCTTTGACATATTAAAACATATTTTATCTTGAAATATGTGGTTAAGTAGATATAATTTAAAGTTTAATATCAACATTTTAATATATTTTCTTAATGTTTGTGTCAATGATTTTACAGTTTAGGATAGAGAGAGTAAATCTTTAGAGAATCTCCATCTTGTATTCAAGTATACCTAGAGTTGGGTGTATAAAGTTATACAAGTATGAGTTTAAGTTATTCAAATGGATTAATATGTCTCATCCAGATGATCAGATGATGAGTGACATAATAGCCTTTTTCATATAGATTTAAGTGTACTCGAAAATAACTGTGAATGTATTTCTTTCGTTTCCTTATAATTGCAACACACACTTTATCACGGTATTTAAGAAAAGTGGACCTCACATGATGTAATACACTTAAAATGAAGTTAAGAGGTTGTTATGAGTATAATCAAGTGGGCCATGAGGTTCAAATAAAGGTAATAGAACAATTTTCACCATAAAACCCTTCTTTTATAATGTATTGTAACTATTATGACATTTTCATTTTAAAAAAGTGTTGTAACTATAAACAAACAGATGAAGTAGTAATGTACAAATATAAAATTAAATTGAGGCAGAACATGAAAAAAAAAAAAAAAAGGTGGGGAGGGGGGGGGGGGTTAATGTAGATTAGTAGTGATGTTGAGCAGCATGGACCATTGTCTCATGTAATGCCTTTTTGGCATTCTTTTTCCACGCACTGCTTTTAAGAACAATCAAAACTACGAGTAGTACCTGTGCTGTCCACTTTCTATATTTGTTTTACAAAATAATAATAATAATAATAAATTAATAATGCACAATTTTAAAAAAAAAAAAAATTATGGCCCCTTCTACTCATATCATATGAGCTTTCCTTTTTTGTTCTTTTTCCTTCTTCTATGGTTTTCCTCTTTTTGCTTTATGGCAGAAACCCTTGAACACATTCTATTCTATTCTTCTAGTGAAAACCAAGGTTACTGGAAGGTTTTTTTTATTTCAGAAATTATAAAACTTGTCAGATGGCGGTTCGATTTGTCTAAACGAGCATGTATATGTTTAGATCAACTGGTAAGGTCGTAAGAAAGTTGTTCCAGTTTAATTAGAGGTGTCGAGTTTCAATTCTATAAATGCAGCAGAATCGATAGGGATTGTATATCCCATGTTTAAGGTCTGTTTTAGCTTTAAGAAATTTCCATAGTAGCATGCATAGGCATTAACAGCTCACTTATCCCCTTGATGCTAATATTTCTAAAGTAGAAAATTTTATTTATTTTTAATGAAAAAGAGTACCATAGAATAATATATATGGTGATGCAATTGAAATTAGAATTTTGTAAAATCAAGTGGTATTCAAATGTATTTGAAAGAAAATGTTTACTTTTTGTTATTTAGCCTAATCATAATATAAGATGAGTTTTCTTAGACTTGTTTCGTCATTAAGTTCCTTTTTATGCAAGATTAATTTCATAAATGAAATCTTTGCATAGTATACATTTGATATTTCTGTACAGTATTTTTCATGGACTAATATGGTGTTATGTTATGGATTAATTAGTTAATGGTGATCTTGTATATATTTCGTGCTCGGAGCTTCATTAGATTGTATTGATAATCGTATGTTTCTTGTTCATAAAATAAAATTGATTAAGTGGACCTGACATTACATGATGAACAATTCTAGTTTAAGATGTTGTTAAGCATGTTTGAACATAATTATATTATATGAATTATATAAGCTTAAGCTTCACAAGTGAACCCTTTGAAATTTGTCAAACTACAAATCCTAATTTTCAATCATGTACATATATATGGAATTGAGAGAACGTTTTGAGGGTAAACAATAAAGTTAAGATCACGTTTACGAGTTCGAGTTTGGATTAAGTAAGATTAACTTAAATTGAGATTATGAGAGCATGAGACTAATTAAGAGATAAAGGGTGTTACTTGATATCAATAAAGAATGTTTGGGTTAAAAGTGTGTGCATAGTTCTTACTACTTTACTCCCAATGTCCCTTATTTTTTGCCCCATTTGACTTTTCACGGTCTTCAAGATGTATCTTTAAACGGATATATCTTCATTTCTATACGCGTAGAAATTATTAAAATTTGATATTAATAAACTATATAATGAGACGATTCTAACAAGATCTCACATTAATATGTATATTATCACGTATAAATTAACGAAAATTCATGGTCAAAGTTTTAAAAGTTTGACCCATATTTTTACAATGGGGCAAAAAATAAGAGACGGAAGAAGTATATGTTAATTTATTGTTGTTGACAAACATGATGATCTAAAAAGTCAAATTTATTGAAGTTAGTTTGTATTTGAACAAAAATATATGGTGATATGGATTGCATTGTTGGAGATGGAGTGCAATCTGGTAACAAGATATCAAGGAGGAAGAATGATGATATAGAATTTGGACTTTTTTGCTTAGGAAAATTCGACAATAATTGGATTTGTGGCTATGTATTATGGAGTACGGAGTAATATTTTGGTGCTTTTTTGCATTGTTTATCTCATTTGGTTAGAACTTCTTCAAGATTGTTTTTTTTTTAAAAAAAGGATGTGTATTGATTATGTATCATTTACTTCGTATTAACTAGTCTTACCCTAACTACGAGTATAATACATTGAGAAGACTATCATATCACCTTCGCGTAAAGAACTAATTTTGATTGATTAAGAGGTGCTTAAGCTTATTATATTACTAATGTCAAATTACTAGCAAATCAAATATGGACTACTATGAAACAAGAAAAATCGAAGAAGGGTAACTTTTATTGTAAAGAAGTAAAAATAATTATAATAATTGCTGCCTTCTAGTCTAGTCCAATTCATGTCTGGTCCAAGATCGAAAATTAACCAATCTAGTCTTTGATCCTAGTCTAAATTGGTTTATTCTTAGCTAGATCAATGAACCCTAAAAAATGATCATTACTAATAAGTAGGCTTCTAATGCGGAGAACGACATCGTCTTGCCTTACTTTAACCAACCACTCATAGCAAGCTTTGTAGCATGCTGCATGCATAGGTGAAATACTAGCTAGTTATACTTCCAAAACTTACTCTCTTGAAATATTATGAGATTTATGATGATTTCAACTTATGTATTAAATCATCCATTCGTTGTTACTTATATCAATTGGATCGCTTTAAAAAAAATTATCGCATAAAACTCCCTTCAATCCTAGAGTAGCAATTGATTTAGGATATAGGGAATACTATTTTTTTTTGGTGCAAACCCTAATTAATGCTGCTACTAAGCTACTAATGCAATAATGGCATAGTCACCCCACTAATCACAGTGGATGAAACAGCGACCTATGACATTGAGCCCCGACCTTAACCTTAAGCTATATATATGCTCAGCTCTTCTATTGCATGCCTTGCATTAACAAGCAACCTTTTAATTAGTTGCTGCTATTGTAGTTACGTTTTGGCGTGTCGTGGTGAAACTTATAAAATGCTCCCCTATGCTAAGCTATCATGTCTCTTTAATTTCTAGACAAACTATATAACTCATCACTATTTACCTCATCACTTGCTCACTCAAGTTGATACTTCCTCAATCCTATCTACAGTTAAACTTTAAAACCATACATCATAATGCGTTAAAATAAGGGATTTGTTTGATAATTGGTTATTTCTATAAATTTTGGCTTTTATATGTGGTTAAACAGCCAAAATATATATATGATTGTTTGGCTTTTTTTGTTGCTTAAATCCAGCTTTTTTGTCAAAAGCTAGTAATGTTAGCTTTTTTGTGTTGGCTATTGGCCTTTTTATATTACACTTTCATTTCTATCCCAACAACCAAGTTTACCAAACATTTATACTTCCTCCATTTCTTTATAGTTGCAACACACCCTTTTTCACAGTATTTAAGAAAAGTGGACCTCACATGATATAATAGACTTAAAATGGGGTTAAGAGGTTGTTAGGTGTATAATCAAGTGGGCCATGGGCTTTTTTTTTTTTTTTTTTTTTTTTGTGAAAGAAAGTGGGCCATATGAGCTATAAATAAAGGTAATAGTGCAATTTTCACCATAAAATTAAAACTTCCTTTTATAGTATGTTGCAATTGGTGTGACATTTCCATATTAGGGAAGTCTTGCAACTATAAAGAAATGGAGGAAGTATGTAAGAGCCAACAGTTAAACAATCAACATAAAAAGCAATACAAGTAGTTGGTCAGACCAACCAAGGGGAACAACTAGCAGCCAACAACCAATTGCCAAACAAGCCTAAAGTGTTATTCAGTTCACTTATACTGTATTCCACTTATTTTACAAAAGTAACAATAAGTTCATTCAGATATTAAAGAATAACAAGTTTATATAAAAGCTTATCAAGCTCAGTTTATGTTGAAGTGTAAACTTTTCAAATCACACAAGGATCCTACATTAAGAAAAGAAGAGAAAGTTAACACTTTATAATGGTAAGTGTGTGGTTACTCCTCCTATTGGCTATTGTCTTACGAAGTATGATTTTGGAATGGAATCTCCTTGAACTTGTGAAGAAGCGTCTCTCTCTTAATTGCTGGTGCGGCCCAAACCCGTACTAACAGTTTGCTTTAAAAAAAATTTGAACGTTTATGTTGGGAGCAAGCTATTACCAATTTCTTTAGTTTTGGTACTCATCAATCATCATAAGATCAAACCATGGTACTCACTAATAAGGAAAATAACAAAAACAAATGAGCAATTTGCCTTTGTATAATTTATTCTTACTTTTAAGACATGCTCATGGTGTTCGTCCGTTAGATTTGAATTGTTATTGAGTTATAATTATTGAAGTGATCCATCGACATTCAATATCATAGTCCAATTTTTCATTTCCAAAATGTTAAAGTTTTCATCACTTTTTGCCCACTATTTACTCTATTAGTTGTACTTTTATCTTACCCTACTACTTTATTAAATAATACAAGTAAGTTATTAAATCCCTCTTACTCCGTTTAAGAGTGTAAGCAGTTTTTATTTTCATCACTCTTGTAATAATTTGAACACTTTCTTTTTTGTTATGGTCGTAGCTATTATTATTATTATTGTATAAATTTAATTTATAACGCTTAAAAATAAAAAAAAATAAAAAAAATGTTTGGTTTGTCTTTGTTAGTGTTAATAATAATATTACTACATAACTCTCATGAAAAATATCATGATAAAATGTAATAAATACAATAATCTATAATACACCAGACAAAAATAAATGCAATTGTTGTCAAAAGTTATATTGTGAATGTTAGATGTTTTGTTAGTCAAAATCAATTGAATTATATTGTTAGGATCGCCTATCCAAAGTGTCGATGTATTATTCCATGAACTTAAAAACAATATTACATCAACCCTTGGATAATTTATTCAAAAAAAAGAAAAAGAAAAAAAAAAAAGAAAAAGAAAAAAAAAAAAGAAAAAGAATAAGAATAACATAAATTAATTCCTAAAATACTCCATAAGTTTTTTGTTTTATGTTTTTTTTTTTTTTTTCCTCAAAGAGTTTAAAAATCATTGTATTTTTCTTCAACCATATTTATTTGTCCCATTTAGAATATTTGATTTGAATTAAGATAAAGTACTTTGACAATTATTTTAATTAAAATTATTCTTAATACATAAAGAGTATAATAAAAGAAAAATATAATTGATCATGTTAGTTTTGTAAGAATATCCAATAGGCTGATAGCAAGTGATTCAATCTTAGAGTTAATGATCAAATAACTACGGAGTATAAAAAATGAATAATTAAAAAAACAGACATAATAAATATTTCCTCCGTTTTTTATTTGTAACACATCATTTAGGCATACAATTTTGGAGATGATTAATGAATGTAAACGAGCAATTCTATTGAAAAAAAAAATTAACACGAGGATTAGAGTAGGGTTAATTATTATGTGTAAAAGATATTTTTCCGTTTACGTTTGACAATCTCGACTTCAAAGTGCATGTCATAAGACTGTGTTGCAAGTAAATAAAAATGGAGAAAATAAATGCTCATAAAAAAATAAAAAATTAATGTCCTTGGATACTATAGCTACAGAGCTAGAGTAGGTATGTGGTATGTAGCATCTGATAAGCACGTTAATGTCCTTTTGATATAATGGGTGGATCCGCACGCCCCCTAAACCGCGCATGATCCGATGCACCCCTCATATCATCATTCTAATTGTTGCATTTCAACAGTTGACTAAGCTAACACAATTACACAAGGCCCATATATACTTGGGAGGATGGAACGTGTACGTTTGGGGGCATCAACCCCGATCAACAGGAAGTCAATGGCATAGACCAAGACAAAGTAAAGCGAGACAAGATTGATTCATACTCGATTTTTCAATTTGAAATAATTGAATCGTCTTTCAATAATTCAAGATAACTTAGCTAAGTGAATAGGGTTGTAGTGTCTCTGGTTATAGCCAAAAGGTAAAATTGTCATAAAAGTATATTTGTAAAAATGATTAACTGAATGAAACCGAACCATATGAAACTAAATTGAACTAAGCTTAATGAAGTTTAAGTGAACTAAAATGTATTGTTTTATTCGTGTTGTTTACCTATATAGTGAAGTGGTATGTATTTACAATATACAGAGAGTTATTAAATCAATGATACATTGCTACGAGGGAATGTCATAAAAAGGAGGACTATAATAGTTAAAATTATTGGAAAGAAAAAAAAAAAAAAACTAAAATTGTTGATAATCTAATCAAGTTATAGTCTCCTTAAGTCTTAAATACCATGATTTGAACTTGACCTAAATTCGGAACCCACTCAAACCAAACTATACTTGAATTTAAGACTATACTAATTTACACTGAGGTTGGTTCGATCCAACTTGACTCAAACACGAGGCTCATCCAATCTGAATTTGCCTCACCAGAATATCATATGATCCAACCTTAAACCATACTCGAAGGCTTATCTAATTTGAATTTGATTTCAACTCTTAGCATTCTGGTTAGAAGCTACCCCAATCTATACTCACATGATTTATGACTGACTTAAACACGAAATAAATCAATACAAATATGCCCATAACATGAAACGACTCAAATCAAACCTCCGATTTACCAAAACCAAACATGACTCGAACTGAAATCAACCCATGATCTTCTTCTAGAATTAAAGCGACCAGAACTAATTCAATTCAAATTTAAATAGCGCAGAGGCTTGATAATAGCTCATTACAGAGTACTCGAATTTGATACGACCGATACGTCCATAACCAATTCAAACCCGAACCACACACTCGAATCCATAACTCTCTGTGTCTAGTAATCCAAATGAATTTACGTTGTGTATTATCGAAACAAGTGAGCCAAGATTACTACCAAACGAAAAGCCCACATAAATCAATCTCTCTCTTCTTCCCTCCTCCGCTCCAACGGCTTCCTTTCCATATTCAAATTCAAATCCACTCTTCCCCCCAATTTCTCTCTCCTCTTCAACAATGGCGACTCCAAGTACATTCCTCAACACCCCCACTAAAACCCCATCAAAAACTTCATCCTCTAAAAGACACCACCACCAAATCGCCCAAACCCAAAACCCTAACCCTAACCCTAATTCCTCAATGTCATCTTCCAGTGAATTCAAATCAAGATTCGAAGCATACAATCGATTACAAGCTGCTGCTGTTGCTTTCGGCGAAAAGCTTCCAATACCTGAAATTGTTGCAATTGGTGGACAATCTGATGGCAAGAGTTCTCTCCTTGAAGCACTTCTTGGGTTTCGATTTAATGTTCGTGAAGTTGAAATGGGTACTCGTAGACCTTTGATTCTTCAAATGGTTCATGATTCTACCGCTTTGGAGCCCCGATGCCGATTTCAAGTTCGTATTCTTCTTCTTTAATTTCACATTTTCAACATTTTTGTTCCTTTGATTTTGCTTCTGGGTTTTGTATGATTAAATGAATCAAATTTAGCAATTTTTCCTGGATTTTTGCTCAGATTTTACCCTTTTTTATTCATTAAGTTGTAAATTTGGGAACAATATCGTCTCGATCCCCTAATTAGAAAGGGATATGCATGATGAAATATTTGATTTTTTTTTGGGGTGGGTTATTTTTGTAGCATTTGAAATGATTAATTTTTTTCCCATTTTAGTAATAATAATTTTAATTGCAATCATTTATTAAAACTATAGCTTAATGTTGTTGGAGAAAATAAAAAAACATAGGTTAGATTATTTGGTATAAGTAATTAAGTTATTCATGACATTGGTAGTCATTTTTGTTAATTGAACTGTGGCTTGCTATTGCTATGACAGGATGAGGATTCTGAAGAATATGGTAGTTCGATTTCGCTGGCATCTACTATTGCCGATACAATAAAATCGCGTACTGAGGTGCTTTTGAAGAAGACTAATACAGCAGTTTCTTCCAAGCCAATTGTTATGAGGGCTGAATATGCTTATTGTCCAAATTTGACTATCATTGATACCCCGGGTTTCGTTCTAAAGGTAGATTCTTAGTTTGCAGTGATATGATGCCAATGCCAAAATATTTTTTTTGTATGTTGTTGTTGTGAGATGGAGATGACAGATTGGAATTTTGGTTGACAGGCTAAAAAGGGAGAGCCAGACAGTACACCTGATGAAATTTTATCAATGGTGAAGTCATTAGCAAGTCCACCCCATCGAATTCTCTTGTTTCTTCAACAGAGTAGTGTCGAATGGTGCTCATCATTGTGGCTGGATGCTATTCGTGATATTGATCCAACTTTTAGACGGACAATAATCGTTGTTTCGAAATTTGATAACCGCCTTAAGGTATGTTTCTGAATTATAATGTGCTTGCATGTCCTTCATAAAAGATTGGAAAACATATCACTATATCAGCTGCATAGTGTTAGACCTGTTGATATAATAGTAATTTCGCTTTTGTATTGGCTTGAATGAAAAAAATTGCTAGTTAGTCACTATGGTGAAATGTGAGAGAAGTGGAGAGTGATCAACGTTTCATCCTTAACTAAGATATCTTCTCAATGATGAAATAGTTTGACTAACAGGCCTCATGTCTTTAGGAATTTGGTGACCGCTGGGAGGTTGATCGGTATTTGAGTGCAAGTGGTTACCTAGGAGAGAATATTCGGCCTTTTTATGTGGCCCTTCCCAAGGAGAGGAATACAATTTCTAATGATGAGTTTCGACGTCAAATATCTCAAGTTGACACAGAAGTTCTGCGTCATCTGCGTGAAGGTGTTAAGGGAGGTTTTGATGAAGAAAAGTTTCGCCCCTTCATTGGTTTTAGCTCTGTTAGGGAGTTTCTGGAGTCTGAGCTTCAGAAACGTTACAAGGAAGCTGCCCCAGCAACACTAGCATTGCTTGAGCAGCGTTGTGGTGAGGTTACCTCTGAGCTGGCTAATATGGAATCAAAGATACAGGCAACTTCTGATGTTTCTCATCTCCGAAGATCAGCAATGTTACACACAGCTTCCATAAGCAGTCATGTGGTGTGTATCTAGCATACATTTAACTTGCTTTATTATATTCTTTATATCCCTTTCTTGGAAAATCCTATTAATCGAGTTCTAGTTTGAGTTTGGTTTCTGAAAACTGAATATTTTATAGTGTTTCAAGTTTTCCTTTCAGCCATATTATAATTGAAGATTTAGGGCATGAATCTTTTCCCCATCCAAACTTAACTTGAATGGACCTTTTTTTTCCCGTTGATTTTTAAAGGTATCATTGATTGGTGGAGCAGCTGATCCACCTCCAGAGCAATGGGGGAAAACAACTGAGGAGGAGCGTTTGCACAGTGGTACTGGGGGCTGGCCTGGTGTAACTGCCGACATTAAACCCCCAAATTCTACCCTGCGGCTTTACGGAGGGGCTGCTTTTGAACGAGTCATGCATGAGTTTCGCTGTGCTGCATATTCCATTGATTGTCCTCAAGTATCCAGAGAAAAGGTAGTTGTATTATTACAGTAATTTAGTTTGGCTGGTCTGGCAATCTGGCGTCTTCTGATGTATGAATATCACATGTATCCTCCAACAGGTGGCCAATATTTTGCTTGCTCATGCTGGCCGTGGTGGGAATAGAGGTATAACTGAGGCAGCTGCTGAGATTGCACGTACTGCTGCCAGGTCATGGCTAGCACCTCTGCTTGACACTGCATGTGATCGACTTGCATTTGTTTTAACGAATCTGTTTGAACTTGCCAATGAGCAAAATCAATGCCAGAACTCAGAATGTAAGAGACCAAACTATGAATTTTTTTTGGGATCTTTTTGTAATTTTCCTGGAAATTTGTTTCATGGATTTGATGATGGGTCTTCTTTTCTTGTACAATTCTGTTTTTTAAACATCTTGACTTGTGTTTTTTGTTGTATCCATTACTACTGTAGGTTAAATTGGTTCGAAGTCATTTTAATGAAAAAAAAGATAACTTTCCTTCACTATACAACTTTATATCTCTACACTACATCAATATGTGGAATTACTAGTTAATTGTTTTATTTAAGTTAATGGGGAAAAATACAACTTTCTATGTATAGAACTTAATCTATCATAATGAGATAGCCAAATTCAGCCTATTATGATTAGGACACTAATGTGTTTTTAGAAGGGTATTTGACATGATGATGAGGCATTAACTGAGCAGGGATTTTGTTGTCTTTTTAGATGGGAAGAAAATAGGAGACATGGATGGCTACGTTGGTTTCCATGCTGCTTTGAGGCACTCATTCAATAGGTTCATTAAAGATCTTGCTAAACAGTGTAAACAGCTAGTTCGACACCACCTTGATTCAGTGACAAGTCCATATTCTCTTGCCTGTTATGAAAGTGATGTCCAAGGTAGCCTTATAACTTCCGGTTACAGACAAGTTTCTCCTGCATCACTTTACCTAGATTTGTCAGATGGTGCTCGAGGTTTGCAAAATGAAGCAACCACAAACCAAGAGAATATACCACCTGAGAAAAATGTACGGGAAACCACGCCAGGCAAAGGTCCAGAAGATAGAGAAGCTCTTCGTGATAATCAGATGACGGTGCCTGAGACCCCATCACCTGATCAGCCATGTGAGTTAGTTTATGGTTTGGTGAAGAAAGAGGCAGGAAATTATATGGAAGTTGGAGCGAGGAAAAGGCATCCTAGAATTTTGGGCAATAGAAATAATGCCAGTCTTTATTTTGGAAATGGAGATAATGGTTTTAGATCAGGTTCTGCATATGCTGACATATGCTCATCAGCTGCTCAGCATTTTGCTCGGATACGTGAGATTCTAGTTGAGAAAAGTGTGACAACTGCACTAAATTCTGGATTTTTAACTCCATGGTAAGTGGCTTTTCCTTTTTTTTTTTTTTTTTTTTTTTTTGATTTTTTGACAGGAAGTGGCTTTCTTATACTACGTAAATAGCTTTCTTATACTACGTAAATGGCATACTCGTGATAGATGTTTGATGGAATATACTATAATCTTGCTTGGTTTCTAATTAATGCAGTCAAGAAAGGCTTATGGTATCACTTGGGATGGATTTGTTTGCTGTAAATGATGAGAAATTCATGGAGATGTTTGTTGCACCCGGGGCAATTGATATCCTTCAAAATGAAAGGCAATCTCTTCAGAAACGACAAAAGGTTCTTCAATCTTGCTTGAATGAGTTTAAGAGTGTTGCTAGGACACTCTGATCGAGCTACATTTTGCACTTGTAAAAAGTTCCGGTATTGCTCTTAAAAGCAGCTGTTGCATTTCCAACAAAAATCAGGTTGATGTTGCTGTTGCTATTGTTAATTGGAAATCAACTGTAATATTTGTTGTGCTATTAGTAAAGTTTCAATGCCACTGCTTTGTGGCTGTCCCCTGGGTGATTTACTGCCTGTAAGATTTCAGTGATTTGCTCTTGTATAGAATGAGTATTTTCCCTTGAGAAATTTGTATAACTTTCATAATTCTGGATCAATTAGATAGGAAAACTTTAGCTAGAACCACTTCAAAATTTGATCTTTTTCGCGAAGCACTATTTAATGGAAAATTTTATGTGCAGAGTTACCTCTAATTTTAAATTACTTATTTGTCAAAGAGATATTGAAGATACTTAAGATTTTTGGGAGTAATTAGATGGGTTGACCACAAAATCAGCTATTTTTTGCGTTTTGTAAATAGATGTGTTTGCTTGTAGGAGTTCAATAAATTGATTTTGAAAAAGCTATTCAACTCAGCTTTTTGAAACAATTGTTTTGGAAATACTTGCAATAAGTTCTTTTGGTGTTTGGTAAAATAAATGATTTTAAAGAGTTAGTCAAAACATTTAATATAACCAGCTAGTCAAACTAGTTATATCAATCAACTGTAGCCTATAAGACATTCTTTGTTGAAAACATATCTTATCAATTGAACTAGACCTGAAAAATTTTCAAACCAAAACAAAGAAAAAATCATATCATACGACAAAGCAACAAATGGTCTAATATCGAAAACAAACTTGTTTTGTCTAACAACGAAAAAGATACAATGTTCAAACTTGAAAATGCCTACATGCAATGTAGGATACAGTATGCAGTAACTGCAGTCAACAAAATGAAAAAGGTTTACATGACTCTCACAAGTCATGACCACAAGTTCATAACCTAGCGAAATAGGTCGATTAACAAAGAAAAGGAAACAATGTTTAAACTTTAAAACGCCTAAATGTAATGTAGGATGCAGTCTGAAGTAACTTTTATTCTTCAACAACAAAATGAAAAAGGTTAACATGACTCTCACAAGTCATAACCATAAGTTCATAACCTCGCGAATAGATAAACTATACAAAATGAAATGGCTTTAAACCAAATCGTCAAGAATGTACACATTAACAAAAGAGAACAATTTGACTATACTTCTTATATATTGTAAAGGATAATAATGATCAAATATCATTATCGTTATTAGTTATTGTTTATCGTTTTATTATCATTATTATTATTGTCATTATCATTATTATTATTATTATGAATTGTAGAATTAAGGTTTATATGTAGTTTTGAGTTTTCTTAAATTAGATTGTTCTTTATAACTTACGAGTTATAATTGAGCATATATATTAGATTAACTTGATGTTAATCAATGTAATTAACGCTAAATTTGAAAATATAATCAATTTAAAATTTCCCCAAATTTGGGATAAACCCTTAGAAAAGAACATGTTATAATAGATTCATGTTTAGTGAATTGATTTTCTTTGTGTGAGCTAGCTGCAATTATCGAACCTATTTCTAAATTCTTTTCTTCATCCTAATTTATTTTTTGTTACCTAACATGCAATTGAACATGAGAATTGAAGGCAGAAAAATAATTTGTTGGTAGGCATAGTCGAGAATTTGAATGAAAATTCTTTATTTGATAGTAAGCATGAAATATATGGAAAGCAATAGGTGGAATACTAAAAAAAAAAATAGTAAAATGTGAAAAAATAAAACAAATAAAATTAAAGATGGTAAATAAATATATATATATAAATGTAGAAACTTTTATTGAATATTATAATACCAACTGGGTATATGCAAGTAATAGATGGTAATCTGTGGCAAGGTTGGTATAGGTGGGTAGTGAATTTTCGCTTAAGTGGTAATGTTGGTGTAAATTTATACTACGTATATGTTGATACCTACTTGAACGGGGATAGATAAACGAATATATATTTACCATATATGATTGATATTAAAACTATTAGGTGGATATGGACCTATGGTTACAAAGAATTGGTATTTGCACAATTCTAATCTATTTTTCTACCTCTATATCAGACCCTAAAGATAAGAGATAAATAAGGCCGTCTTGAACATTTTGAAATAAATTGAACCCCTCCCCCCTAATTAATTAAGGGGGGATGGGAATTGAACTTACAGTGAATAGTAGAGTTATATTCACAAAAAATTCTAAATATATCCAACTCAACCAGCACGTCAATTGCTGTAACTACTCAATATATAATTTTTATACTCAATTGAATTTTCTAGAATTTGGGGGCTTAAGAACCAAGAGGCCGTGTGATGCTGTGTACTGTTGTTTGCACAACCTAATTGCCGGTCTCGGAGATGAATAAGGTGTACAATTTTTTTCGTTTGTGATAAAGAATACATCAATTCAACAACTAGCTTACTATCACCATATATGTATATATAAAGCAAAGTTTAAGAGATACTCACATCAATGAAAAGTCTCTCAAGAATTGGGCATCTATGAACAAAATCAATAATGTCATATGGATTGCAAATGCTTGTGGCCTTCATAAGCACTTGGAGTTCCTTTACATGCCAGAGACCATGTTTTAGTTCCTTCATCTTTCCAATTTCAAAGGCCGCACAAAGATCCTAGCATGACAAACAACTCCATCATTAATATAAATAAGATGTAACGAGTTAATAAGGTAAAGGATGGGTTGATTCCATTGAACCTACTTAGTACTGGCCTGGGTATGGTCAGGCCAATACAAACTTTTCCAATATGTCACAACCATATTATAAGCATGACATGACCCTTAATTAATAAGTTTCCAAAGCATATACTTATAGCGGTCGTCTGGATTCTTGCCTAGCTCTAGCACCACCCTTAATTGTTGTTAAGTTTCCAATCGGGGTTAAATTCCAATTCTGTTACCGTACAAATGATTTCTTAGACTCATCGGTGTAAAAGTTCTATGAATTAAGATCTCGACCACTTTGCAATTTTTTATTTTATTTATTTATTTTTTTTTAAATTATTATTTATTTTTTTTATTTATGATCTAACAAGTACTTCTTCCATTTTTTTTTATCATCTCAATGTTTAAGATATACATTATTCACATACAATCCTTCATTCAAGCGTCTTTTGTGATTTATAAGTTAGAAAAGCATAGTCACGTGTTGAGCTGTCAAAAGATGACTCGAATTGAAAATTTTACCCGAATCCGATTATGACCCGACCTATTTGAACACGAGAAAATGGTGACCCGAATCTAAAACCAAACCTAGATCCGAGTTAGCCTGAGTATTTGAGACCCAAACCCGAACACGACCCGAACCAGAAATTGAGATGACCTGACTCGATATAACCAGTAAATTATTAACCTGAATCGAGATTGACCCAAACCTATTTTAACCCATTGAAACCCAAATTTAACCCGACATGTTACTAACCCGACCCGAATTCAACCTGGCTTGTAACTAACCCAACCCAAATTCAACTCGACTTGTTATTGACTCGACCTAAATTCAACCCTACCTTTTCACGACCCATCTTAAACTCAACCTGACCTGTTTTTGACCTAATTTAACCCGATTTCAAATCACATTAAATTTATTTATGACCACCTTATTCATGTATAATTACATACTCCGTTATAACCTATTGAAACCCGAATTTAACCCGACAACCTAAGAATGCCCTTAACCCGTTATAACCTATTGAAACCCGAATTTAACTCGACATGTTATTAATCCGACCCAAATTTAACCTGACATGTTATTGACCTAACCTGAACCCGACTCAAACTCGATAGGAAATAACCCAACCCGACTTGACCCGACCCATAGTGGTCCGACTCAAACCTGATCCGAATACCCAAATTGACAACTTTAAACTCATGTGTTGTATTTTAAGATTAGTCCCGATTTAAATTTTCAAAATATTAAATTTTTATAATTTTTACTAAAGTATAATTTAAGTTATTTAAGACATAAAATATACATTGCAAGCGTGAAACTAAAACGGTACAATTAAAAAAAAAGCAGGTTAAATGATGCGTACCTCAATTAATGTGCTAGTGATAGTCAGAACTCTAACATGTGCGATGTCTATCATATGTTTCTTCAATTTTGGCACATTGAGAGCAAGCGACGCACGTCCGCAATTGAGCATTACATCTCTTAGTTCAAACATTATTTTTTCTCCAAAAGTCACATGTCGAGGGTTTCCATCGATGTGGAAATTGCTCATAGTCCGAGCATCTACAAAGACTGAACCAAGTTGATAACAATCGAGTATTTTTAGTACCTTAAAAAATTTTAAGGCACTTGCATCAACCTTTATTTGACGGATTTCATGACATTGTACAATTTCTAAATGTTCTAAGAGAGAACAATTATCAATTATAGTCTTGATAAAAAGACCGTTTTAGGTTGATATGCCTTAGGATAAGAGAGTGCAAAAAATGTAAACCCTTAAACTTGGACGGTAAATTTACCACACAATATGAAATTCTTAGTATTTGTATAGATTTAATATCAAGAATTTCAAAAGGAATTTGTAAAGGACTTGCATAAGGCTTTCCCATTAAAAAATCCAAGTCTACTTCTTTAGGCTCTTTATGCAAAACTGTAACAAGCCATAAATTAATCAAATACTCAATATTGTTTGAATTAAGACATAGCTTAAATGTTTCAATTTTCTTACTACAGTGATGCATGATGACACGATGAACAATGTTAACAAGTTGAAATTGATAATAATTTCTTGATAATAAAAAATCAAAACACAAGTGCTTGGAATGTTGCCATGACTTCTCAAACCTCTTAGCGAGGATTGATGTTTGGCTTGCTTCTTTGATGGGTAAAAAAGATATGATGTATTCAACAACATCATCGGCGAGGGTGGCCGATGGATTAGTGTTTTGACCTTGATCTATAACATCACACATGATTTTAAGCTGTTTTTTGGATGGGTTCTCTTCATCTTTACTCGAATTGCTCTCCATTGATCAAAATATAAAAAAGGTGAGGAGAGAAAAATCCCAACTTGTATATGTTTTATGATGATATATAAACTTCTACCACTTCATTTATGCATGTATTCAAAATTATTGTTATCTTCTAATAAGGAACAAAATAAACCTTGATTTGTTTCACATTTTAGACCATTAGAGAAGTGTGAAAACTATTTATTTTGTACCATAAAATCATTTCTTGATAAGGTATAAAATCCTTTCTTTTCATAACAAATGGAAAATAAGTTGGACACTCATTTAAGACCTTTAGAAGAAGTTACTCCCTCTTTTTAATTAATTAATTAATTTATTTATTTATATGTTCTTTCTTAGGGTCGCATTTGCTTTTTT